CAATAGCAAAGACTTGGAACCAACCCAAATGTCCATTGATGATAGACTGGATTAAGAAAATGTGGCACATATACACCATGGACTGCTATGCAGCCATGAAAAAGGATGAGTTCATGTCTTTTGTAGGGACATGGATGAAGCTGGAATCCATAATTCTCAGCAAACTATCACAAGGACAGAAAACCAAACACCGCATGTTCTCACTCACAGGTGGGAATTGAACAATGAGAACACCTGGACACAGGAAGGGAAACATCACACACCGGGGCATGTTGTGAAGTGGGGGGATGGGGGAGGGATAGCATTAGGAGATATACCTAATGCAAATGACGAGTTAATGGGTGCAGCACACCAACATGGCACATGTACACATACGTAACAAACCTGCACGTTGTGTACATGTACCCTAGAACTTCAAATATAATAATAAAAAAAAAGGAAATGACAGAGAAGAAGATGAAAATGTAAGGAGAAAACCCCTTTAAGGTAGTTCCTATTATTATCCAAAGACAGGGAGATTAAATGCCTTGTTCAAAATCATACTTGGCAGAGCTGAGATTCAAACACAGGGTTGCCTCACCCCAGAATACAAGTGTTCATCCACTATGCTCATTATCTTTCTGTCTAGAATGTCTTCTCTGAAAAAAATCTACAAAATCTCTTTTACCTTCACTGATACATTCCAAAATTCCAAATCCACAAATCAACTTGACCGTGTTTTAATAGGATCCCAATGTAACACAGTCTGTAGATGTAAATGACTGCAAAAGAGATGTTAGTCTTTATAGTCACATTCCTGACTAAATTTAAAGAGGAAATTGGCAATTACTTCTCAATGATTTATTTTTACATACAGACGAGAAAGTGATTAGGCATTACCAGAAGGGTAAAGAAGACGACCTACTAGATATGCCAAAAAATTTAACCAAGAGAAAAAAACTTCTGCTCTTTTTAATTATGTATTTCCATTTCATTGCTTTCAGACATCAAATAATTACCTTTACTAAAATCATCTGGGTGATAGCATCAGAAGCAGTGGGTGAAAGAGCTGTGACTGTGATAGGAATTTCTCCCAGATGTGTTGGCCTGATGGGAAAAAGAACAGTTGCCCCATCCTCACTGGGAACCAGAATGGTCTGCTGGTGGCCTGTGGCATTGATTTCACTTGAAGTCATTAGAATATCAAATTTGTCACTTTTCTCAATGATTACCTTAACCTGAAAGAAAAAATAAATCAAAGCTTTTGTATAATAAATGCCCTTCAGTAAAGTACTCTTTCATCACCAATTTAAGTACTGTCAAATCTGTGAGGCTAAAGACTAGAGAAAAGACGAGACAAAGATTTGACCAAGGAGAGTGTCAAAGGGTATCAGGAAAAACTTCCTTTCCTTTCTATGCTTTCCCCTCAACCTCAAGATAGGTGGGGAAAGGGCACTCTTTAGCCCCATTTCTAGTCGTCCCGCTAATATTAAATTCTCTCACTATCTGAAGCCATTAGATGGTAAGGATGTGCACAGAAAGGCTATTTCATATATTGATATTACCACCAGCTTGACTGAACTATGTCATCCTGGAACATACTGGTCCCATTAGAAAAATATGAAGAAAACAGCATGAAATGTTACTGAATTTATCAAAGTCTCTGTAAAAAACTATTGCAGGGAAAGTACAACTCAGACATTAGTCCTGAAGCATATCTTGGTTGTAAACTTTTATAAATTATCCCAAAGTTACCAGTCTCATCAATAATAGCATTTCTCTAGGCCTTACATTTTATTAATTATTTTCCCATTGATTTTTTCATCTGCTTCTCAGAGTATCTTTTATGGGTATAATAATTATCATTTCCATTTTATAGATGAGGAAACTACAGTTAAGTCACTTGTTGGTAAGTGGTAGATTCAACATTGAATCCAGGCCTTTTGACTCTAGATCTTTTGCTTGTTAAACAGTACCATGATGACCAGGTTAAAAAGTAAAATTAAAAAATAAAAAAAAATTGACTTCCCACATTGTCAGCCAAGTATGCCAATAAAAAGCTTAAAAAACTAAATTTTTAATTTAAAAAGTTTATGTATAAAGTGCCTAAAGAGATTATGGCATTTTCATGCATGTAATAAAGTTAATTACATATCCCTATTTATTCTGGGGGAAGAAAAATCAGTCACTTGGTTAACATACTGTGGGCACAACACAAACAGTGAACCTAATTCCTGCCTCCCAGGGAAATGACTAGCTAAGGAGATACAAAGTACATGAATCCAATAGTGAATCCTTGAAAATATAAACATGGGGGCTACAAACATAACAGAATGGCAGCCAGGTTCTGTGGCTCATGCCCGTAATGCCAGCACTTTGGGAGGCCAAGGCAGGCGGATCACTTGAGGCCAGGAGTTCAAGACCTGTCTGGCCAACATGGCAAAACTCTGTCTCTATGAAAAATACAAAAATTGCAGTGATCCAAGATCACGCCACTGCACTCCACCCTGGGCAACAGAGCAAGATCCTGTCTCAAAAAAAAAAAAAAACCTGCAGTGGGCACAGAGTGGCAGTGAGAAGTGGCCACACATTCCAGATGTGGGGAAAACCAGGGGAAAATGCAGGGAGGCAGGAAAGAGAAAGGCATGCTTCAGAGACAATAAGGAACTTCCATGGCAAAAGTAGAAAACCTATGCTGAAAATTCAAGGAGGTAATATGTAGACATGCTAATGACATCCTTAGACATTAATTAGCAGAAGAAATCACTGAAAAGACATGTCTATTTTCAGTCTCCCAGAAATGTGTAAAGTGCTTAGAATCCCAAATGCCCAGATACTACACAACCCAATCCCTTCGTGCTACCTCCATTTTCTCCTGTAGTGTAAATGATCAACAAAAGTTTGAATATATTACCTCAGTGGCATCTTTCAAATAATTGAATATAGTTATTTCCAAAGCAAATTCTTCACCTCTGATAACAGAGTAGGGAAGATTCAAAAAAATGAAAAATGGTTGGAAGGCTTGCAGCTGGAAAGAACACAATGAGTACATATTTTTATTCAGGTCAAAATTCTTCACATTTTATGCAATTAAATGCAATCTTCATAAAACCTGTGAAGCTTTTAACTTCAGCTAGAAATGTCAACTTGCTATCAACAGAAAGCAAACAGCAACTTATCACAAATGAATGATGGCAAATTGACTTGATTTATGTTACTTAACATAATCATCACGATACTTTATTCAGTGCCTTATAGCAACCAAGATCTTCACATACATTATTTTGTTTGGTCATTACAACCCCATGAGGTTACTGTTAGGCTCCTACTTTATAGAAAAGAAAATTAAATTTTAGAGATTTTTGTAACTAGTACAAATTCATATTGCTGGCAAGTAGAGGAGCCAGAACTAGAACCCAGCCTGTCTAATCCCAAAGCAATTTGCTCTTCTTTCATACTGTATTGACTCCACCAATCTGCTTTAAAAGCCCTGCCAAATCCAGCAGCCCCTGTTCTAGTGTGGGACATCTGAATACATGTGCCTCCTGACTAAATTTAAAGAGGAAATTGGAAATTATTTCTAAAACATATATACAATTTATTTTTACATACAGATGAGAAAATGTGTGGGACATCTGAATACATGTGCTTCCTCCTCAGTGATCCAATTCTGATATTATTGGCCAAGTCCTACAGAAAAGACCAAGCCCCACCCCTGCATCTAAAGCTAAACTTGGATTAGTTTAGGCCAGTGGTTTTGCTGGCAGCAGTAACTCCCTCTAGAGTTTATCTGGACACTTGTGAAGGTGTCTTAGACTGTCACCATGACTCGAAGGTGCTATAGGTAGGTAGTGGATGACAGCCTGCAATACTCAGGATAGCCCCAGACAATGAAAAATTGCCCCATGTTCCTCATGATTCTTGAATGTCCCTTCAGACATTTATGTAGCTGAATTGTCTGTTTATAATGGCCTGAGCTTACAATCTAATTCCAATTTCTATATAAACCCAAAGCATTTTTCAATATACACTGAATTTTTCATGAATACAACTATTTTGTAAATTGAAATTACATTTCAATTTCAAATGAGACAATTCAGGCCACTCATGGCCATTATATTCCTCCTGCCAGTGACTGGCTTAGAAAACAATATATGATGCAATTTGACCAAAAGACATGATGGAATATTGGCTAGCGAACATCTTGGGAAGTTCTGTTCATTCTTGAAGAGGACAAATAGAAAAACTCACTCTCTCCTCTCCTTTCTCTCTCTCTTCCTTTTCCTTTCTCTCTCTTCCAGCCTTTGGAGATGGTTAGTTCAGGTCAATAATAAACTTTTCTACCCAAATGTTAATATGGGCTTCCCATATTTAGCAGTTTATAAAGCTAAATATAGCTCACATTCTTAAATATAAAACAGATAAAAAGCAAAAGACGAAGCCAAGGAATCTCTAAACTGTGATAAACATTATAAGCAGTCATTTAAAAAAAAAAGAAAACATTGAGGAGCTGATGCTCTATTAGCTTAATGTCACTGTAACATTGATAAGCAGCTTTTTAATACAATACCTCCACTGGAGTCTTTGTTAGTCCAAGACCCAGGTCCTCAGAAATCACAAAACCAGTAGCCACCCAAGAAGTGATAGAATCAGGTACAGTTACTTCAAATTCTTGGTAAATCCTAGAACTGAAGTCAAGATAATAAACATAAACATCACAAAACCAAGAACCGATACATTTTGAAATAAGTCAACATAATCTAAACTATTTTTGGAAGAAGTTCAATTTTTCATATTATTTGCATATCTGAATTTAAAACCATTTAAAAGGTTTAACTATAAAATAGTAGATCCCAACTTTTCAAAGAATAGGTCATCGCAAGGTCATAATACTGCATATTAATCCATATTCTAATAAAATCTTCCTGCAATATTTACATCTTCAGAATAAACATCACTTTTTCACAAATTTTTTATAAATAATAAATACATATTTTCAACCTTAACTCCAATTTTTTCTCTAAATTTGCAGAAGTTTTTCTGTGTATCCCTGTCAATGCCGTTATTTGTTTCCCTGAGATTTCACTCATGTGCTAACTCAAGTATCTTTAAACAGCTGACTATAAAATACGATGTGGATTTCATGATTTACCTCCTCAATTATCAGGCCAGGTAGTACGGGTTTTATCAGCTAAGCTGAATTCCTTCCACCACCCATGCCCCTTCTCCCTGTGACTCCTGGGAATGTTTTGTGAGGAGTATGGTTCAGTTAGCAGCACTGCCAGGGGTCGCAGGAGATAATCATGAGTGCTTCCCATCCTGTGACAACAAATGTACTCCCAGCAGTTTTTCTTCAAGAAGAATCATGAGACTTCAAGGAAGTCAAAATCGCCCTTCATTAATTAAAAAAAAAAAAAAAAGCCTGTCTCCTCATTGATGAGACCTTCCTGCCATAATTTGTGTGTGGCTTTATCAAAAACTGTATTCAGATTCAATAAATATCATTTCCTAAAAAATCATTTTGGTCTACTTAGTTCTTAGTTACACTATGTTTGTACTTAAACATTAGAAAGAGGGCAAAGCTTATTTAAAACAAACACTGAACAAAATATATATGGGCAAAGAACTTTGTAAGTTTTTACCCCATGTTGGTGTCTAGCCAAATCCAAGTCTCCGGAAAATGCTTTCGGACATGTGGACTGCTACCCAAAGAAAAGTCTTGAATATCAACTACATGTCCTTCATTTTCCTCCATAAACCTCTCAGCATATTCTGCATTGTCATCTATAAGTAAACATGGACAAGAGTTAGAAAAACAGTCAGTGGAGAGAATGAATTGTAAACTCCAAACACAGAATGAATGTCAATCACTTGGGAAGGTGTCCAGAGACATAATGTGCCAGTGGGAGTTCAGGTTCCTTCTATTACAGTGAAAAGGTAGAAGAAGGTTTTCAGAAAAGGTAAAGGATACAGTAAGTATTACTGGCAAGAGAATGGGTATTACAGTGGGCATCAAGAAGGATTCAGTATGTAAAAAAGAACAAAGATGGGCAAAAACTGAGACTGAAAAATGGAAAAAGATGCTTGGAAGACTGTCTACGATACAGGGTTATATGAGGAAAGCCAAATGAATCACATGTCTTTAATATAGAGAAATCATAACGACTTCATAACATCTTCAAGACTATAAAATTATCTTTTAAGTTTCAGGACAGAGGATCAGGTAAGAATCAGCCCAAAGAGACCCTGGGGCTTAGCACGGAATAACAAAATACCTGACAGAAACAGGGAATTCAGGGATAGAAACTGTGACAGTTCTAGAAGCCTTTCAAGATGATATTAGTATAATTTTACCTGAAAGAAAAGAGAACCCCTTCTAAGGTTAACCATTCTAATTTATACATTTCTTTCAGTCAAAATATTTTATGACTTCTTTCTAAAAGCACACTTATTATTAGTTGGTAGCCAACTCTATTTAGCAATTCAAGAAACTAGAATGTACAGATATAATCCTGCCCAGGAAGAACTCAGATTGATGGGGGTGTGTGTGTGTGTGTGTGTGTGTGTGTGTGTGTGTGTGTGTGTCTGTGGTGTCTATGTCTGTGTGTGCGTGTGTGTGTCTGTGGTGTCTATGTCTGTGTGTGTGTGTGTATGTGTGTCTGTGGTGTCTATGTCTGTGTGTGCGTGTGTGTGTCTGTGGTGTCTATGTCTGTGTGTGCGTGTGTGTGTCTGTGGTGTCTATGTCTGTGTGTGTGTGTGTGTGCGTGTGTGTGTCTGTGGTGTCTATGTCTGTGTGTGTGTGTGTGTG